GGGGCGCTCCAGTAGTACGGATCTGGGGCGACGATCCGCCTTTGCGGGAAGCGGTCGGGACCCCCTCGGGGCCGCAGACATACATCTGGCGGAATGACAACCAAACATCTCGTCCCAGACATCCGGCGCTCTAACTTTTTGTCGCTGCGCAGGCCCCAGAGACCTGGACAACTTCCCCATGGTGCGATTTTTCCGTCCCGAGCAGTTTTCGACGCTCAGGGCCCCCCCCCCTCCCCCGGAGGCCAAAAACGGCCACAAACCGGCCGCTCCAAGGTTTGTCGGGGCCTCGGATCGTTGGGTTCTCGTCGCCCGACGATGGCGCGCTCGACCCCCGCTGGCGATCCCACAGGCCTCGGGCATTGACAGAACGCCCCCCCAGACAGGTCGACTGAGGAGGTCTGCACGGGCTAACTCGGCAGTGGCCGTCGAGTGTACCGGTGCAATCCGCAGTCGGTTTCGCTAATCGACGTGCGTTTCGCCAGATACATTCGGCTGCTGTTGGACGTCAATTGGCCACCCCGCTGGGCTCTACAGTTGGGGCGCTGAAGAAGGAACCTTTTTCGTTTGGGAGGGGCTCCGTGTTCCTTAGTTGTTTTGCAGTGCTCCTTGGGTTTTCCTGAGGTTTTCATGGACATCAGAGCTTAACTTGTGGGAAAAAGGGGCCTCGTTCCTATTGTAGTGATGGCGGCCAGTGCCGCCGATCCGGGCGCTCCGACTGATGTGATCCTCTTCGCCCTCGTCCCTCTCTTTTCCCTCCCCTCCTCTCACTCAGCATTTATCGAAGACGCCTACGGCGAATCACCGCCGCCCCCTGCCTTTTTGGAAACGCCGATGTGGCCGAAAGTTGGACTAGAGCTTGGCCAAGCTATCGGACCATGAGTTCCCCGAGTCGGTTTGGAAAGCTTTCGGGGAACACATGGGAGAGAATGATTATGAACAGAAGAGGAAGAGGAAGAAATAGAGTAGGAGGATGAGGGTTGTTAGGAGTCTCTTGGGGCACCCCTGGGGTCTGTTGGGGGCTTCTTGGGGGCCTCTTCGAGGCCTCTTGGAGGCATCTTGGGGGCCTCCTTGGGCCTCTTGGGGGCCTTTGGGGGCTTCCTGGGGGTCTCTTTGGCCGTCTTAGGGCGTTCCTGGTCCGTCTGACGCCGTCTGGAGTCGTCTTGGGGGCCTCTCTGGGCCGTCTTGGGGCCCTCTTGGGGCGCTTCAGGGCCGTCTTGGAGGCCATGTTGGGCGTCTTGGAGGCCTCTTGGGCCGTCTTGGGGCGCTCTTGGGCCCGTCTTGGGGGGCCCTTGGGCCGTCATAGGGCCTTCTTGGAGGCCTCTTGGGCGATCTTGGGGGCCTCTTGGGCCGTCGGAAGGCCGAAAAGAAGAAAACGCAAAAAACCTTCAAACACCTAAGGAAAACCAATGATATTGGCCTCTTCGGGCTCTCCTGGAGAACGTCTTGGAGGCCTCTTGGGCCATCTTGGAGGCATCTTGGGGCCATCTTGGCCGTCTTGGAGGGCATCTTGGGCCGTCTTGGAGGCATCTGGGAGCCATCTTACCCGTCTTGGAGGCCATCTTGGCCGTCTGGGAGGCATCTTGGAGGCCATCTTGGTCCATCTTGGCCGTCTTGGAGGCCATCTTGGGCCAAGTTGGGGCAACAAAGGCATTGACAGACGGATTTTGGGAAAATTACGGGTGGCCGGCGGGACGGGCCGAAGCCCACTGGGGAGTTCTTTTAGAAAAAGAACCAGAACCAAAACCTGAAACGTCCAGCACGCCGTGCACCCCTGCAAGCAGGGGGCGGCGGATCCAGTGGCCGTCGGCCTATCCCGCCACCGTGCGTGGGTGGTGGGTCAGAGGCCTCATGGATGCTGGTTGGGATCTCGTGGTTGGCTGGGACTTCTGGGGGCCTCTTGGGGCTTCTTGGGGGCCTCTTGGGCCTCTTGGGGCCACTAGAGGGCATCTTGGGGGTCTCTTGGGAGCCTCTTGGGGCTTCTTGGGGGCCTCTTCTGCGCCCCTTGGGGCCTCTTGGAGGCCTCCTCGGAGCCTCTTGGTGCGGGAGGGGTGGTACTCGAGTTCGGAACCCCCTCGGAGGCCACGATCCTTGTGAGGGGTGTCAACAAACGCATCCGCCGGAAACTCGCACCCCCCCCCCACCCCTCCTTCCCCGGCAGAGCCACCCGGCAACCCCCCCAGAGGCTGAGGCTCAGCCTCGAGGCTGTAGCTGAGACTCCTTGAAACTCACACGCCGGATCGGCGGATTTAGGGTTCCTTGGGTCAACGTCCCAACTGTACTCGGACTGCGGTGTGCCGCGCGCACGTGGGAGTGCCCCCGGCAACCTGCACTAAAGGGCGTTTTGCTTGCATTATTGTTGCCTTTGGACGTCGGTTGGCCACCCCGCCGGGGTCTGCTCGGGCTGCGGTGCGCCGCGCGCACGCGGAGTGCCCCTGGCAGCCTTCGCGGAAGGGCGTCTTGCTGAAGGGGATTCTCGGAGGCCTCGAGTGAAGTCGGGCGT